AACAAAACGAAAATTCATAATGCAGATTCAAATTCTCATTAAAAATTACAAGTCTGCCATGTATTCAATTCAATCACACCTTAATTGCATGTTCCAATCATCAATTAAACATAATTCACTCTCAAATCACAATCCCCAAATTATCCCCAAATCAGATTCAGAAGAACCCTAAAATTTAAATTCGTAAATTGAGGAAAATTACCTGGAATTAGAGTGCAGAACTGATACAGACTTACTCGACAATGATAATGTGGTGGAATGAAGTCTCAGATTCAGTTCAAAACAAGCAAAAATTTCTGATTTTTTTTATGAAGGTTGCTGGGTAGCTAGGGTTTTTCACAGTGCGTGTTGGCTCTAGGGGTTTTAAGTGAGAACTCTGAACGCGTGAAGGCTTTAAATAGGGCAAGTAACCACGCAGAAAATTCTATTCAAAAAAATACCTCAGCCGTGGCTACTTCACTTGTTTTGCGTTTCAACTTAAAACCCTCATGCAGCTCATGTGCTTACCTTGAAATAAAAGAAGTTAAGGTTTAAAGATCTGACCTTTGCGCGTGTTGGCTTCAAACAAATAGGGTGAAAGCGCGCAATTGCGCGTGGCAACTTCATTTAGTTGGCGTTAAGGCGCGCAGCTGCTCTGTATAAGGCGCTCAGAACGCGTCTTGGCTTTATTCACTTAGAGTGAAGGCGCGGTTTTGCGCACAAAGGCGGCATGTAAGTAAAGTGAAGACGCGCAGCTGCTCTCCTCAGCTCTTTTCTCAAGGCTTCTGCGTTTTGGCTCTATCCATTTAGCGTGTCAACGCACAACTTTGCGTTGAAACTTCAGCTGTTCAGAGTGGAAACGCACAACTCTTCGCTTTAGATTCTTCTTTATTAGTTTGAAGTTTCAACTCCCATGATTGTTCCCTTCATATCAGCTTAAAAACTGAAATTTTTCTGCAATTTAAATTCACCATCTAATTTTTCCTGAATCACAGCAAACAACCAATAAATTTTCACTACACTTCCTTATCAAAATACAAAAAATCAAATTTCAAAATTTTAATTTCTACCTAATTCAACAAAATATACTACTATGACTCAAGATTAACTAGAAATTCAACATCTAAACTTCAATTAATAAGAATTCAAGTTTTAGAAACATGAGTTGCCTCTCACAAGTGCTCTTTTAACGTCACAAGCTTGACGTTTGATGTTTCTCATTCAAGAGAACCCACTTTAATGCATGAAATTTCCTTTGAGAATGCTTCTCCATGATAAATTTTCAACCTTTGACCATTAACTTTGAACTCTCTTCCTGTATTAGGATCTGCCACCAAGACTGCACTATGAGGTGATACTTCTTTAATGAGGAAGGGTCCAGACCACCTTGATCTGAGTTTTCTTGGAAATAATTTCAGTCTTGAATTGAACAGCAACACTTGTTGTCCAGATTTGAGTTCCCTTTTTAAGATGAATTTATCATGAATCCTTTTGGTTTTCTCCTTGTATATCTTGGCATTTTCATAGGTTTGCTATCTGAATTCTTCCAATTCATGTAACTGTAGAATCCTCTTTTCTCCAGCCTTTGCCAAATCAAAGTTCAGCCACTTTGTAGCCCAATAAGCCTTATGTTCCAATGCAACAGGTAAGTGACATGCCTTTCCATAAACTAATTGATAAGGTGACATACCAATTGGAGTCTTAAAGGCCATTCTATATGCCCATAGACAGTCATCTAGCTTTTTAGACTAGTCCTTTCTTGATTGATTCACCACCTTCTCTAAGATTTATTTAATTTCTCGATTTGAAATTTCCACTTGTCCACTTGTTTGTGGATGATAAGGTGTAGCAATCTTGTGTCTCACTCCATATTTTGCTAAGACTGAATCAAGATATTTGTTACAAAAATGAGTACCTCCATCACTTAGCAAGAATCTAAGTACTCCAAACCTAGTGAATATGTTTCTTTTGATGAAAGATATCACCACTTTAGCATCATTGAACCTTGTTGGGATGGCTTCCACCAATTTAGACACATAGTCTACTGCCACAAGTATATATTCATGAGAAAAGGACGTGGGAAATGGTCCCATGAAATCAATTTCCCAAACATCAAACATCTCTACTTCTAAAATATTGTTCAAGGACAGTTCATGCTTCCTAGAGATATTGCCTGTCCTTTGACACTTGTCACAGTTTTCAACATAATTCTTGGCATCTTTAAACAATGTTGGCCAAAAAAATCCTGCTTACAAGACTTTTGCAGCAGTCCTTGAGCTACCATGGTGACCTCCATATTCTGAGTTATGACAATGCCAAAGAATTTCAGCTTGTTCTCCTTGTGGTATACACCTTCTCAGCAGACCATCTACCCCTATTTTGAACAAATAAGGTTCTTCCCATACATAAAATTTGCTGTCATGCAGAAATTTCTTTCTTTGTTGCCAATTAAACTTTGCTGGAATCAGCTGAGTGGCCTTAAAATTTGCTAAATCAGCAAACCAAGGTGATTCTTCCACCACAAATAATTTCTTATCTGGAAATTCTTCATTGATGTCCAAAGAATTAGAGTTCAAACTGTCCAATGGTAATCTAGACCGATGATCAGCTACTCCATTTTCTTTGCCTTTTTTATCTCTAATTTCCAGCTTAAACTCTTGTAGCAGTAGGATCCATCTCAGCAATCTTGGCTTGGCATCTTATTTTGACAACAAATATTTAAGTGCAGAATGGTCAGTATATACTATTACTTTTGATCCTATCAAGTATGATCTGAATTTATCAAAAGCAAACACAATGGCAAGGAGTTCCTTTTCAGTAGTTGTATAATTCACTTCTGCAGAATTTAAGACTTTACTGGAATAATAGATCACATGCAATTTCTTGTCTTTTCTCTGCCCTAGAACAGCTCCTACTGCACTATCACTAGCATCACACATTAATTCAAATGGTAAATTCCAATCAGGTTTGGCTAGAATAGGTGCAGAAATGAGTTTCTCTTTTAAAACAGAAAATGCATGCAGACATGATTCATCAAACACAAATTCAGTTTCCTTGACAAGTAAATCACTAAGAGGTTTTGCTATTTTTGAAAAGTCTTTTATAAACATCCTATAAAAACCTGCATGGCCTAAGAAACTCCTAATTCCTTTAACATTAATTGGTGGAGGTAGTTTACTAATGACTTTAATTTTGGCTTGGTCCACCTCAATTCCCTTTTCAGAAATTCTATGGCCAAGGACTATTCCCTCTTGGACCATAAAATGACATTTTTCCCAATTCAGCACAACGTTTGTATCTTGACATCTCTGCAAAACAATGGACAAATTAGATAGACAATCATCAAAAGAATTGCCAAATGCAGAAAAATCATCCATGAAGACCTCAATGATCTTTTCTACTAAATCTAAAAAAAAGGATAGCATGCACCTTTGGAATGTGGCTGGAGCATTGCATAGTCCAAATGACATCCTTCTATATGCAAATACTCCAAATGGACATGTGAAGGCAGTCTTCTCTTGATCTATTGGATCCACCGCTATTTGATTATAGCCTAAATATCCATCAAGAAAGCAATAAAATGCATGTCCAGCCAATCTTTCTAACATTTGATCAGCAAATGGTAATGGAAAATGATCCTTCCTTGTTGCATCATTAAGTTTTCTATAATCAATGCACATGCGCCAGCCCGTTACAGTTCTAGTGGGTATTAATTCATTCTTTTCATTTGCCACTACAGTTATTCCTCCTTTCTTAAGAACAACTTGAACTGGGCTGACCCATTGACTATCTGAAATTGGGTAGATTATTCCTGCATCCAATAGCTTCATTACCTCTTTTCTAACCACTTCCTTCATAGCTGGATTCAACCTTCTTTGTGGCTATATTACTGGCTTGTAGTTGTCCTCAAACAGAATTCTATGTCTACAAAAGGATGGGTTAATACCTTTTAAATCTGAGATGTGCCATCCAATTGCAGATTTGTGATTCCTTAAAATTCTCAGCAGCTTTTCTTCTTCATCTCCCTTGAGATTATTGCTTATAATCACTGGATATTGATGTCTTTGATCTAGAAAAGAGTACCTCAAGTGAGACAGTAATTACTTCAGCTCAAGTTTTTCCACTTTCTCTTCTTCCTCTTCTTTTTTAAGCTCCTCTCTTGCTGAATTTTCGGATAAAGGAATAATAGGCAGTGTTTCAAGTTGCTGTACATATTCCATGAATTTTTCTTCTCTTTTTACAGCAGCTTGTGAATTCCCTGCAACTATAATTTCCCTTAACATAGAAAATTCGTCAACATTATCAATTAATTGAGGAAATGACATAGATTCTAAAATATCAACTCTCATACAAGTGCTATCATCACTAGGATGTTTAAGTGCTTCAAAAACATTAAATGTAACCTTTTCATCCTGCACTCTAAGCATTAATTCCCCTTTTTGCACATCAATCAAAGCTCTCCCTATAGCTAAGAAAGGTCTACCCAATATTAAAGGAATATCGGCATCCACCTCCATATCTAAAATGACAAAATCTGCAGGGAAAATAAACTTGTCAATTTTTGCCAATAAATCATCTACAATACCATATGGATAAGTAAACGATCTGTCCGCAAGTTGTAGAGTAATGCTTGTTGGCTTGACTTCCTCTATTCCAAGTCTTTTCATTATGGCAAGAGGCATAAGGTTGATGCTTGCCCCAAGATCACACAAAACTTTTCCTATTGTACAACTTCCAATAGAGCATGGAATGCTGAATGAGCCTGGATCTTTTAATTTTTGAGGCATCTTTCTCTGCAAAATAGCACTACATTCTTCAGTCAAAGGGACTGTCTTGTCATTTTCTAACTTTCTCTTCTTGGAAAGCAACTCCTTCATGAATTTTGCATATGAAGGCATTTGTTCTAATGCTTCAGCAAATGGTATATTAATTTGGAGCTTCTTGAAGACGTCTAGAAATTTCTCATACTGCCTTTCTTGCTTAAGATTAGTGACTCTTTGTGGATAAGGCAGTTGCTTGTATTATTCTTCATCTAGAGGCTTGTTTGAGTTTTCTAAAATTTGCCTCTTTGTTCTTCTCACAGTTTTAGGGAAGGTATCCATTTCTGAATTTTCTCTTTTTAATAGGGTGAAGTTCCCTTCCTCTAGTTCAGATTTAATCTTCTCCTCTTCCTTGGTTTTCTCTCTCTTCTCAGCTGGTTTTGGACTACCCACAACAGCTTCACTTCTAGTCATCACAGCTTGGCATTGTTCTTTTGGATTTATAACTGTGTTGCTAGGAAATCTCCCATCTTCTCTGCTGGACAGTTGCTCAGCTAACTGTCCAATCTGAGTTTCCAATTTCTTCATGGAAGATTCCTTATTCTTGAAGCTTGTTTGTGTTACTTTCATGAATTGTAGCATGGTTTCTTCCATTTCGTTCAGGCTTTCATTCAGTGGTTTAGAAAACCTCTGATTTTCTTGAAGTTGGTTGGTTGGATTCCCTTGGAAATAAGGTTGTTGAGCTGCTGGTCCTGCATTTGAAAATGGAATAGCATAGTTAGAATTTTTCCAATTAGAATTTTGGGTATTCCAGCTATGTTGCTGCTAGTTTCTATTATTAGAGAATTGAAAACTAGGAGGAAATGAAGATTGTTGTCTCTGAAAATACCCCATATAATTGAATTGTTCTTGAGATTCAGAATTATTTCCATCACAAGCTCCGTTTACATGATTCCCTCCACAAAAATCACACACAAGTGGATTATTCTGGGTTGGTGCAGCTTGTAAGTTGCTGATTTGTTGGGTGAGTGCAGCTATTTGCTCAGAAAACAGTTGATTTTGCAGTTGATTTTGAATCAAAAAAGTTTCAAGAAGTTTTGCCTCATAGCCATTACTCCTTGTTGATTGTCTCAAACTACAGCTTTGATGCATGGAGGAGGCCATCATATCTATAATTCCTTGAGCTTCTTCTAGTGATTTGGTGTTCAAAGAACCTCCTGCAGCTGCATCTATCATGGTTCTAGTTGCTGGATTCATCCCATTATAAAAGGTTTCAAGTTGCATCCATTCTAGTTGCATCCATTCTGGTATGCAATGATGTGGAAATCTTCTCAAGAGTTCCTTGTATCGCTCCCATGCCTCATATAAGGTTTCTCCCTCTTGCTGCATGAAGGATGTGATCTCTCCTCTTAGCTTTGCAGCCTTAGAAGGTGGGAAATATTTAGAGAAAAATTTATTGACTAGATCTGTCTAAGTAGTTATGCTCCTTTGTGGTTGGGCTTGGAGCCAACATTTTGCCTTGTCCCTCAAGGAAAATGGAAACAATCTTAATCTGATTGCATCTTCGCTAACTCCATTAATCCTTATAGTATCACATAACTGCAGAAAATTAGAAATATGTAAGTTAGGATCATCTGAAATTAAACCATAAAATTGATCTTGTTGAACTAAATGAAGTAAGGCAGGTTTAATCTCAAAATGGTTGACTTGAATGGTTGGTCTGACAATAGAAGAGTTGTATCCGTGCATATTAGGTACTCCATAGTCTCCTAAAGTCCTTTGTCTATGTGGTTCAGCCATCTTTGCTTCTGAATTTACAGATGAAGTTGGAGAATTGACTTGTTTTTCTGCTGAGTTTGGTGAAGAAGGTGTAAACTGCGAATTCTGGTTCTTTTTAGCTGAGTTCTTCGCTCTCAAGTCATTCCTTATCCTTCTCAAAGTTCTGTCTATGTCTGGATCAAATACAAGAACAGATTTGTCTTTATTCTTCCCATGCATATAACACAAGGAAAACTAAACACAAACACTAATACTTGAACTTTGATTAGAACAAAGAGCAATGAAGGGTAGAGAATCTATAATCAAAATATTCTTCAAGAACTAAAAGAGATAACCTCTGTTTATTTAAAAACAGAACAGCAATGGAATATTCAAAAATTAAAATTACAACAACTAATATATGTAAAATCACTACCAAAATTTAATACGAAATTGAACTATCACACAGAACTGAATTAAAAATAGAAAATAAATGGTACAATCTAGTTATCCTCTAGTTACTAATGATGTTAAAAACTAAGATCCCCGGCAACGGCGCCAAAAACTTGATACACATTTTCTTATCATAGTACTTAAATGATGTAATTCACTACTAGCAAGTGTACTAGGTAATTGTAGCAAGTTATAAAATGTGGAAATCAGATTGAGTCCCAAGTATCGTCCTCTAGGATCTTATTTTCAATCACCAATTCACAAGATAATAACCATTTGCACCAAACAATTCATTGAACAGATTTCATTATGCAAGAAAGTAAATTTTAGAATTAAAGAAATGAGAAATTGTTAGAAACAGAATGTTAATTTGTACTATTCGAATGAATTACGAATGGAAGAAAAGTTAGGAATTTATTTCACTAAAATATCAATATCAATTCAGTTCTACCTCTGAACATTCAAGCAATTGATTGATTGTTAATCGGTTTCTCTTTACAATAACCAAAGATTGATTCCTCAATTCATTGGTCCTAATATTCAACCAAAGCTCCCTAATTCCTTAGGCCAAATTTAGTTCAATATTGCATTACGAATTAGAACCAAAAAATTGCAAAACTAAGACCACTTATCCCTAAGAAAATCAATAGTTTTGAAAATCAATATTTTAGAACTATTTTCCTAATTATTAACCAAAAACTATGCTAAAAACATGGTAAAATATGGATTTATCAGCTACTATTTTCAACAAAAGTGAACACTTTGAAGTGCGCGTGGCTACTATCACCAGCAAAAGTGATCACGCTAGCAGAGCGGGAATTCTATAAAAGACAGTTAGCTCAGGAAGGGAGAAAAAGAAATTTTCATTTTTTCATTTTCCGTTTTGTTTTTGTTGTTGAGAGAGTCAGAGAGGGAGATTGAGGACGAACACCAAGCTTCATTTCTTGAGGGATTAGATTGGAGATTGGCTTGAAGATGTTTCTTCTTTGTTTATTCTCTTCTTCTTTTCTCTTTTCTTCTCCTCTCTTTTTGTAATGTTTGCTTAAACTCTTTGTGGTTAGGAACTGTGAATCTGAAATAAAAATGTTGAATTGATTTTGGATCTGAACTTTGAGTTTTGGATTGGATTGAGTGATTGATTCTGCTTTTAAATTAGTGATTGAATGGAAATTTGATCAACTAATCATAGAGGAACTCTTATCAATGGGAATTGAATTTGTTTCTCATCTCTGAATTAATTGCCAAGGTTATTGGTTTCCCACAGCGGCTGCAAGGTCACCCTCCTTATGATGAAGAGTTCCACAATTTCTTAGACTTATTGGGCAAAGTGCACATCAATATGCCTTTCATTGATGCTATCTCCAAAATTCCCAAATATGCTAAATTTTTAAAGGAGATTTTGACTAATAAAAGAAAGTTGAGAGCACATGAAACTGTGAAGCTCACCCAAGAGTGCTCAGCTATAGTCCTTAAAAAGCTTCCACCTAAGCTTAAGGACCAGGGAGTTTTACTATTCCTTGCACAATTGGAAAAACTCATATTGATAAAGCTTTATGTGATTTAGGAGCAAGTATTAATCTTATGCCTTATTCTATTTTCAGGAAGCTTGGAATGCATAAACCTAAGCCGAACTCCATGTCACTTCATCTGGCAGATACATCAATAACATACCCCAAAGGCATAATGGAGAACTTACTTGTAAAAGTTGGGGAGTTTATATTTCCTACTAACTTTGTGGTACTTGACATGGAGGAAGATAATGATGTCCCCATCATACTAGGGAGACCGTTCTTGACCACTGCCAGGGCCATCATAGACATACAAGAAGGGAAGCTTACACTGAGGCTAGATGATGAAGAAGTTGTATTCCAAGTTTTCAATTCTTTTAAGTACCCTTCTAGCTAAGAGTCTTGTCACTTTGTGAGCACTGTGGATGTTGCTTCTCCTCTTTCAATTCATGTCAAGCATGGAACCACGAGAAGAAAGCCAAGGAGGAAGCAATATAAGAAGAAGAAAAGACAAAAGCTTAAAACATCCATTAATAAGCCTCCTGATTTAGAGCTTAAATTTTCTTCTCTTTATTCTAATCCCCATATTATGAATAATTTTTCTGATGTAATAGGTGTTGGGGAGGCAAAGCTGCTGGGGAGACAATTGCTTATCAAGGGAGTCACCTCTGAGACTCATGCCTTCTTCCCACCATGATTTAACAGGAACGTCAGGCTCGTGACGTTAAACAAGCGCTCCCAGGAGGCAACTTGTATCTTTTATTTTATTTAAATTTTATTTCTTTTTGTTTATTTTAATTTTGCTATTTTTATTTTATTTTTAGAATAAAGAATAAGCATATTAAAAGATTGGAAGAACAGAGTTGATCGTTCCCGCACACACTTTTGAGCTCTGATATGAAAGCAAACTCGTGCTCATCCCAAGCACGCCTATGTATTCAGTCGTAGTTGTGAGAGAAGCTTTACATCATAAGCATGGTTGTGCTCCCTCACCCAAAGTCGTCGCGCCAAGAATTATCAGGGAACCTTTTTCCTTTTATTTCAATTGCCCTCTTTGCATTTTTTTAATTTGATTGCTTTCAAACATTGAGGACAATGTTTCACTTTAAGTATGGGGGAGTAGTTCCTAATTATATAATTGTTATTTGCATGTTATTGAATAAAGTGCCTATACTATTTTTTATGATAATTTAAAACTTTTTCCTCATGGAACCCAATTTTTCCAGATAGAAGAGCATATTGAGTGATTATTATTGGCGTTATACTTTCATTTGGAAACTAATAATTAGCTAAGTTCCTTACTTTTATGCTTTACATTAAATTTTAACTCACATATGTGAGTTTTGAGCCTTAAAGGAGATTTCTATCTTAATTTAATTAATTGTACCCCTTTCCTCATTGTTTTGTGTGATTGTCTCCTTAGGATTTGTGTTCTAGAACTTGACTTGAAACCGACTTAAGACTTTTCTTTTTAATTGCATGTTTTTAATGTGATTGAGGCATAATAGAATTTTTATTCTTAGCCATCAGCATGTTTGAGATACAACTAGTTGCCCACTTTGAGCTTTATTAATTTTCTTGGTTCCTTGCATTAAATTTATAAAAATATTTTGATGACCTTGAGTTTATGAATGGAGCAATTGAGTTGTTGAATTGTTTGATAAATTCTCCTCTATATCTCTCATGTGCAAAATGAAAGAAAGAACGTATGAAAAAGAAAATGAAAGAAAAGAAAAGAAAAGAAAAAAGGTTATATATGATTGAAAGGAGAGAAGAGTAAAGATATTGTCCACATACAAAAATATAAAAAATACTCTAAGAGCTTTATTTATAAACTTAGGGGATGTTTGTAATTGTTAAAATTTATTAACCCCCTTTGTATATTCCCTTTCTTTCATTTATCTCACCTCAATTATTATAACCCCTTGGCCACATTATAACATGAAAAAGACCTCATGATTTTTACTTGCATTTAATTGATTTAGTGGAGAGTCAGTTTATAGTCAAGCCTATAGTAGTACACTCTTCTTTAGGAGAATTGAGTGATATCTTATTTTGTCCCTTAGTGAGAGAAGAAAGTAGAGTACCTCAGTTTGATGTTTGAGTGAAAAGTATGGAAATATAAGATTCTAATTGGGAATCCTTTCGATTGCTTATGCTCAGTGATATTACTCTTGTTGCTCTCTTTATCTCCTCATCTCGGGTTCCTTGTGTGGTATTATGTTTTAAGTTATTATGTTACTCTTAACCAGCACTTTGCTTGAGGACAAGCAAACAGATAAATATGGGGGAGTTGATGAGTCTGTAATTAAGCCCTCTTTTACAGCCCATATATTCATATTTGACCTTTATTTTATTTGGGTTTTACACTAATTTATATACTAATTGTGTAGTTTGGTATAAAGAGGCTGCAAGTGGATTTTGCGTGCATTCTAGGCCCAAATTGATGAAAGATTAGAGCTTCGCAACAGTCAGCACGCCCAAACCCATTCAATAAGCACAGGGGTGCTTCTAGCCCATGCACGGCCGTGCTTAAGGCCTTACACGACCGTGCTCATCTGCAGAAAGGCCAATTATGAAGAGTTTTTAAGATTTTCAAATCCTATAAAAGGGAAGATCTTAGGCATCGTAAAGAGACCGTTTTTACATCTTGGCTTTGACTCTAGAATACATCTGATCTCGTCTCTCTTGCACGGGATCCTTGGCACATACTTGGCAAGACTTAGAGCTTCAAGCCATCGTACTTGAAGACTGGGAACACATCTTATACTCTAGTTTGCTATTTCTTTTGATTATGGCTTTGTTTATGATTATTTTAGTTCTTTTCTTTAGCATCAGTAACTAAGTCCATAACTAGGGCTATGGGAACTATTGTTCATGAATTGTAGGAATTTTGATGTTTGAATTTAAATTTTATTTCCGTTTTGTGATCAGATTTTATCCTATTGCGCTTCTCTTTTAATCCTAATTAATTATATTGTCAGGCGACCGTACCTCGGTTAATTAATAGATCTATAGGGTAAAACGAGACAAAGGATTAGGTGGATCAAACCAATCTTTCACTTCTAATCATTATTAAATTAACAAGTTCGTAGGCTCTTAAAGCTTTCTTAAATTTCTTGCATGACCATTGGGAATGTTGATTTAAAGAAAAGAATATTAATATTGCATGACCATTGGGTATTAATAGTATTCGTATGAATGATTGGTAATCACAAGGAAATCGAATTTAGAGTTAAACAGAAGAATGACATAAAGGATTGAATGAGAAAATCCATA